CCAGCTTGTTGACTCTGCGTTTAAAGACATGGATGTTGTACGTGGGAGGGAAGACCGAAAAGGGGGAAAGTGTTCCACAGTTGTGCTGTTCTTGGGAAAAAACGATTGAAAGTTAGAAATGTGACATCTGGGGCTAGTCACTTGAAATGGGTGGCTAACCGCTTGTGTGCGGGATCCACGAGGAAGAGCAAGTGGGAGAGGGACAGATATGAAAAGTTCATCAGAGCGAAATCCAAAGTAGCATCAATATAACAAGGATAAAGAAGCGACTTCCCGACGGTGAGCTAGTGACTGCAAGTTGTATGTTAGGGACGGGTCGTTGATGAGACGGATGGCCTTACTTTGAACCCGATGAAAAAGAGAGAGATAGAAGAAGCTCTACTCCACACATGACTGCAGTGAAGGGCTAATCTGAGATTTGTAAAGCGAGAGGTAAATGGGTGTGAAGAAACGTCTGGCACGGAAGAAGAAACCAATTTTGCGCTCATCGCGGGAAACAAGCAGATTAATATAAGGTGACCATGAAAGAGAAGAAGATAGGGAAAGACCCAATAGGTTGCATGATTCTGTGCAACGGAGAGTATTCGAGTTGAAATTCAGCAAAGGGGAGAAAGATGCTTGTTTAAGAGATATGGACATAAGGGAAGTTTTACTGGCATTGAACAGAACACGGTTGCTACAGTCCCAATCAGAAAGAAGGCCCAGATCAGAATTTGGGGAGAGACTAAGGGAGGAGCAGTCGTCAGTGATGCTGGAGTTAGCGATGCGCGAAGGGGAAGAGGACAGAGAGGAGTGTAGAGTAATGTCATCGGCAAAGGCGTAAATGGGATTTGAGTTCCATTTCGCCTGTTCGCCGAGCTTGGCAATTTGTTTGCAAACGTTTCATCACCATCCGAGGTAACATCATCAGTGCTTGTGAAGTTGAAGAAAGAAGGTCATCAATCAACATCAGAAAAACGGAAGGGAAAAGTACAGAAGCTTGGGGGAACACCAGCATTCACATGCACGGAACGAAACACGATCCCCTCTACTCTGACGG